TGGTCGTGCTGGGGGGTGGTCGTGCTGGGGGGTGGTCGTGCTGGGGGGGTGGTCGTGCTGGGGTGTGGTCGTGCTGGGGCGTGGTCGTGCTGGGGCGTGGTCGTGCTGGGGCGTGGTCGTGCTGGGGTGTGGTCGTGCTGTGGTGCGGTCGTGCTGGGGTGTGGTCGTGCTGGGGTGTGGTCTTGCTGGGGTAGGGTCGTGCTGGGGTCGGGTCGTGCTGGGGTGTGGTCGTGCTGGGGTATGGTCGTGCTGGGGTGGGGTCGTGCTTGGGTGGGGTCGTGCTGGGGTCTGGTCGTGCTGGGGTGTGGTCGTGCTGGGGTATGGTCGTGCTAGGGTGGGGTCGTGCATTTCGCTCGAGACATCCTGCCAAAATTCCAGGAAATCGTACAAAAACAAACGAATTAGTTCGAAACAATTAATCATCGAAATTCCTTCGCGCGGGCGCTTTTTTTTTCCGCTTCGCGTGTCCGGGGTCGCTCTGCAAAACAGCGTTTCGCCTGAGACTCCTCGCCAACTCTGCGGAGCAAGCGGTTTCGCTCGAGACATCCTCAACACACGAAAAGAAGATGGGCCGCACCCTGTATTATCGATCGGGATTTTCAAAAACAAGCGTTTTCGCTCGAGAAAACATCCTCAAATTTTAATTCGCCGCCTCGGCCGCCTCCTTCGACCTCGATATTTATCAGGGAAAAAATTCGCCGGCCTCCTTCAAGTTGGCACCGGGGGACAGGTTTACCCACTAAAAGAGAACCCTGGGCCCCAGCCCTTTCCGGGAAAAATCACGACGTCGGATCTTTGGGAGGCGGGAGGGGCATCGAAGGGGAGGGAGCAGCGTGGGGATGGGGCGCGGAGGGAGGCGGGACGGAGGAGGGGCGCGACGTCCTCTGGCCAAGCCAGGGCTTGGAGGCGGCCCCGGGGGTCTGAACTGGCTGGGACCCCCGAGAATCGGTCAGGAGGGATGATGGGCCTGTCTTCCACCACCGCCACCAGAAGTTGGAGGGGGTAGGAGGATGAGGACGTGGAGGAGGAGGAGGAGGAGGAGGAGGAGGAGGAGGAGGAGGAGGAGGAGGAGGAGGACCCCTTCTCCCTCCAACTTACGGTGGTGGTGGAAAACAAACCCATCAAGGGAGGGATGGAACCAAATCCGCTCAAAGCGGGCCTTGGGACCACAGGTACATCTGGCGCAGTTTTTCACCCCGGATCCGTTCCTCACCATCAAGGAGCCTGCAAGCGGCCCCCCCGAGGCGGAAACAACAACATGATGGACCCACGAACCCGGAAAGGGATATAGACATGTGGAGCATGGGCACGTTTTCACGATACCCAACGGGGCAACACCTCACGAAACATCCCACGAGACACCTCACGAAACATCCCACGAGACACCTCACGAAACATTCCGCGAGACACCTCACGAAACATTCCAGTAGACACCCCGCGAAACATTCCACGAGACACCCCACGAAACATTCCACGACGACAGGCAACCACTCAACCAAGGCGGTGTGGTCGTGCTGGGGAGTGGTCGTGCTGGGGTGTGGTCGTGCTGGGGGGTGGTCGTGCTGGGGCGTGGTCGTTCTGGGGGGGTGGTCGTGCTGGGGGGTGGTTGTGCTGGGGCGTGGTCGTGCTGGGGCGTGGTCGTGCTGGGGCGTGGTCGTGCTGGGGTATGGTCGTGCTGTGGTGAGGTCGTGCTGGGGTGTGGTCGTGCTGGGGTGTGGTCTTGCTAGGGTGTGGTCGTGCTGGGGTGTGGTCGTGCTGGGGTGTGGTCGTGCTGGGGTGTGGTCGTGCGGGGGGGTGGTCGTGCTGGGGGGTGGTCGTGCTGGTATGTGGTCGTGGCTGGGAGTGGTCGTGCTGGGTGTGTGGGCCGTGCTGGGGCGTGGTCGTGCTGGTGTGGTGGTCGTGCTGGGGGGTGGTCGTGCTGGGGTGTGGTCGTGCTGCGGCGTGGTCGTGCTGGGGCGTGGTCGTGCTGGGGCGTGGTCGTGCTGGGGTGTGGTCGTGCTGTGGTGAGGTCGTGCTGGGGTGTGGTCGTGCTGGGGTGTGGTCTTGCTGGGGTAGGGTCGTGCTGGGGTCGGGTCGTGCTGGGGTGTGGTCGTGCTGGGGTATTGTCGTGCTGGGGTGGGGTCGTGCTGGGGTGGGGTCGTGCTGGGGTCTGGTCGTGCTGGGGTGTGGTCGTGCTGGGGCGTGGTCGTGCGGTGGGGTCGTGCATTTCGCTCGAGACATATCCTCACCATTTTTCTGAAAAAACATAGCGTTTCCGCCTTCGAGACATCCTCAATTTTCAATTCGCCGGCTCGTTTATTATCATGGGAAAAAATTCGCCGGCAATTCGCCGGCACGTTATTTATCAGGGAAAAAATTCGCCGGCCTCCTTCAAGCAGGCACCGGGGGACAGGTTTACCTAGTACAAAGAGAACCCTGGGCTCTTGCCCTTTCCGGGAAAAAAACAAACATGATGGACCCACGAACCCGGAAAGGGATATAGACATGTGCAGCATGGTCACGTTTTCACGATATCCAACTGGGCGACACCTCACGAAACATCCCACTAGACACCCCGCGAAACATCCCAGGAGACACCTCACGAAACAACCCACGAGACACCTCACGAAACATTCCACGAGACACCCCGTGAAACATTCCACGAGACACCCCACGAACAGGCAACCACTCAACCAGACACCCCACGAAACATTCCACGGGGGTGCGACTGGGTGTGGTCGTGCTGGGTGTGGTCGTGCTGGAGTATGGTCGTGGTGGGGTGTGGTCGTGCTGGGGTGTGGTCGTGCTGGGGGGTGGTCGTGCTGGGGCGTGGTCGTGCTGGGGCGTGGTCGTGCTGGGGCGTGGTCGTGCTGGGGTGTGGTCGTGCTGTGGTGAGGTCGTGCTGGGGTGTGGTCGTGCTGGGTGATGGTCTTGCTGGGGTGTGGTCGTGCTGGGGTGGGTGTGGTCGTGCTGGGGTTTGGTCGTGCTGGGGTTTGGTCGTGCTGGGGTGGGGTCGTGCTGGGGTGTGGTCGTGCTGGGGTGTGGTCGTGCTGGGGTGTGGTCGTGCTGGGGTGTGGTCGTGCTGGGGCGTGGTCGTGCTGGGGCGTGGTCGTGCTGGAATGTGGTCGTGTTGGGATGTGGTCCCCCGTGCTAGGTGGGTGTCCGTGCTGGGGTGTGGGTTCGTGCTTGGGGTGGGTGGTCTGTTGCTTTGGGTGTTGTCGATGCTGGGGTGTGGTCGTGCTGGGGTATGGTCGTGCTGGGGTGGGGTCGTGCTGGGGTGGGGTCGTGCTGGGGTCTGGTCGTGCGGGGGTGTGGTCGTGCTGGGGTATGGTCGTGCTAGGGTGGGGTCGTGCATTTCGCTCGAGACATCCTGCCAAAATTCCAGGAAATCGCACAAAAACAAACGAATTAGTCGAGACATCCTCGGAATTCCTTCGCGAGGAGCGCTTTTCCGTGTCGCGGTCGGCTCTGCAAAACCAGCGTTATTCGTTTTGTTCGCTCGACTGACTGCATTGAATGTCCTCAACAAAATTCTGAAACCATCCGTTTTCGCTCGAAACAGTCCCCCAAACTCATGCAAAACCAGCGGCACGCTCGCTTCGATACACATCCTGCACAAATTGTGAAAACAAGCGTTTTCGCTTTCCGAGACAATCCTAAATTTTTCAATTCGCCGCCGGCCATCCTTCGACCTCGATTATTATTTATCAGGGAAAAAATTTCGCCGGCCTCCTTCAAGTTGGCACGGAATTTGCGAGAACCGGGGGGACAGGTTACCCACTAAAAGAGAACCTGGGCCCGCGCCCTTTCCTGGAACACAAACGAATTAGTCGAGACATCATCGAAATTCCTTCTCGCGGGGCGCTTTTCCGCGTCGCGGTCGGCTCTGCAAAACAAGCGTTTCGCTCGAGACATCCTCGGCAAACTCTGCGGAGCAAGCGTTTCGCTCGAGACATCCTCAACACACAAAAAAGTGGCCCGCACCCTGTGATTTATCGATCGGGATTTCAAAAACAAGCGTTTCGCTCGAGACAGCTCCCTCCAAATTTAAATTCGCCCACGGGCTCGTTATTTATCATGGAAAAAATTCGCCGGCATTTCGCCGGCTCGTTATTTACCAGGGAAAAAATTCGCCGGCAATTCGCCGGCTCGTTATTTATCAGGGAAAAAATTCGCCGGCCTCCTTCAAGCAGGCACCGGGGGACTAGTTTACCTAGTAAAAAGAGAACCCTGGGCCGGAGCCCTTTCCGGGAAAAACTCGAACCTGTCCGCCCCTCCCCGCTGGCCGGAACCAGTGCTGGGCGACCTCAGAGGCCCCGAGACGCCCCAAGACACTCCCAGCACTGCCTCCAACCAAGGAAAACAGATGGCGTTGGCCTCTCTGGGCCCTCCTGCATGGCCTTCTTGGGACCCGCTTGGGCCGTCTTGAGACCATGCTGGGTCGTCTTGGCGACTTCTTTCCGTCCTCGTGGGCCAGTCGTGGAATTCGCCCACTGAGGTCCAGAAGAGGGCCCTCCATTCCCCTGGTACCAGGGAGGGAGGACGTTCGGGGGAGTGTTCCAGCCCGGGGCCCTAGCCCCCAGTACCCCAGCATGTGTACACACACATATAATATATATATATATATAATATAAAAAAAAAAAAAAAAAATATATATATATATATATATATATATATATGCATAGACATCGGGAAGCGAGCTCTGTACACCGACGCTTTGTCCGACCCTACGCTAGAATTCGCACGGAACGCGGATCCTGGTGTATACGGGATCCTGGTATACATGTTTCGTTGCCTCCCTAGGAAAACGGGAGAGAAGTATACACTGCACCACTCCGACGTCGTCCCCGACCCTCAGAAAAGTCCTGGGATTGAAACAAAACCGGCCACTGGAAGTGTATATGTTCCAGATTCCGAATACACATACACACAGATGTGTATATATATACACATACATACAACAAATCGTTGAGCGAGCAGCGCGGAACAGACAGGTCTGGCTGCCGTCCACGAGGGGGGGCCTTCACGGCGAGTAGCTGGCGGAGGAAGAGGTTGCCGATGAACTTCATGTTGGCAAGCACCTTCGCCTGAGGAGGAGCGGGCGGGACCGCAAGAGGGGGCTCCCGTTCACGTTATCCCTGACTCTGCTGTTCCTCCTTCCTCCTCCCCCCTTGGTCATCTGTGGCGTCGTGGGTTCCCACACCCCACCTGTCGGGAAGCCGGAATGATTCCTCACAAGGAGTGGGGCGGCATGACGAATGGAACAAGGATGGGCGAGGGGGATGATGAGGGAGAGGGTGGTGGTGATTTGAATGAGGAGGGAGGGGGTGGGGGGGAGGACGAGGGATGAGGGGGAGCGATACGAAAGCCTGGGGCAGAACGTTGTTCGCAGTCAGATCGACCAGCGCCTCGGGGCCTCCTCCCGAGCTCTCACGCGCCCCGCAACCGATGGCTGTCGATCAGTTGCCCTGCGGCGGTGGCCGCAGAGGCAGGAGGGGCCCAGAACACCGTCTTGGGAGAGGGTCGAGCAGGTGCGACACCATCGTCACCGTCAGCAGCCTTTCTGTTTCGACGGCGGTGGCCTCCTCACAGACTCTTCAAGGCACTCTGAAGCGAGAGTAGCAGGGCCCGATCACATCTGGGCAAGCATGTAGCACTTGCGGCTGCTGTGAACCCCGCATCTGGTGCCGCCGAATGATCGGTTTACAAAATCCCACCAGGCCTCTGGGCGTGAGTGGTGTGGTTTTTGTGTCTATCTTTCCGTCTCCCCTTCGGGGAAGGGTTTATCACTGATCCCTATTAAATATGCACACCCTCCTCCAGGCGACCGGGAGCCAACCATGAACAATGAGGACACCATGCTCTCCCCCCCCCTCCATCCCTGTCAACATGATGGACCCACGAACCCGGAAAGGGATATAGACATGTGGAGCATGGGCACGTTTTCACGATACCCAACGGGGCAACACCTCACGAAACATCCCACGAGACACCTCACGAAACATCCCACGAAACACCTCACGAAACATTCCGCGAGACACCTCACGAAACATTCCAGGAGAACACCCCACGAATACATCCACGACGACAGGGCAACCACTCAACCAGGCGGTGTGGTCGTGCTGGGGAGTGGCGAGTTTCTGGGTGTGGTCGTGCTGGGGGGTTGTCGTGCTAGGGGTGGTCGTGCTGGGGGTGTGGTCGTGCTGGGGTGTGGTCGTGCTGGGGCGTGGTCGTGCTGGGGCGTGGTCGTGCTGGGGCGTGGTCGTGCTGGGGTGTGGTCGTTCTGTGGTGAGGTCGTGCTGGGGTGTGGTCGTGCTGGGGTGTGGTCTTGCTAGGGTGTGGTCGTGCTGGGGTGTGGTCGTGCTGGGGTGTGGTCGTGCTGAGGTGTGTTCGTGCTGGGGTGTGGTCGTGCTGGGGCGTGGTCGTGCTGGGCGTGGTCGTGCTGATGTGTGGTCATGCTGTGGTGAGGTCGTGCTGGGGTGTGGTCGTGCTGGGGTGTGGTCTTGCTGGGGTAGGGTCGTGCTGGGGCGTGGTCGTGCTGGGGCGTGGTCGTGCTGGGGCGTGGTCGTGCTGGGGTGTGGTCGTGCTGTGGTGAGGTCGTGCTGGGGTGTGGTCGTGCTGGGGTGTGGTGAAGTCGGGATTTCAAAAACAAGCGTTTCGCTCGAGACATCCTCAAATTTTAATTCGCCGGCCTCAAAAACAAGCGTTTCGCTCGAGACATCCTCAAATTTTAATTCGCCGGCTCGTTATTTATCATGGAAAAAATTCGCCGGCAATTCGCCGGCTCGTTATTTATCAGGGAAAAAATTCGCCGGCAATTCGCCGGCTCGTTATTTATCAGGGAAAAAATTCGCCGGCCTCCTTCAAGCAGGCACCGGGGGACTAGTTTACCTAGTACAAAGAGAACCCTGGGCTCTTGCCCTTTCCGGGAAAAACAATACAACACGCACTCTGCTTCCACATTAGGAGCATGCGCGGCCAACCCGATGCGCCCCCCCCACGATCCCTGTCAACAAATAGAATGTACATGTACACGTTGGGGCACAGTCTTGAATCATGTGTGTGAGGCCCGCGAGCACTTTGTAGTTTTTGACAGGGACGGCGGGGGTGTCAGCAGAACGACTGCTGTGCGCAGGGCTACCATCCCTGACAAAGAACAATACAACATGCACCTCGCGGCTAAATCTGGATAGCGCGCCCGCCCAGCGATCACTGTCAAGTGGTTTTGACAGGGACGGCGGGGCTGGTGGCGTATGGCCTGCTGTGTGCAGGCGCACCTGACACACTCTGCACGTGCCCCGAACGTGGCGCACATGGCGCGGCAGGAGTATGCGGCACACCTGGCGCACGCGGAGCACGTGGCGCATCTGGCGCACCAGGCGTGCCTGGCACGCTCGGGCCCCAGGGTGCCTGGCGCGCGTGGCGCGCCTGGCACGCGTGGCGCACCTCGCCCCAGGGTCGCGCACATGGGGTCGGTTTTGGTTCCCAATAGCTGCCCATCCAAAAACGAGCGCTGAACATGCTCAGGCTCGGGTGTTACTTATGTGTTGGGAAGATGGGTGGGAGTGAACTGGACGGCTTGTTATCTAGGAGGGTGTCTCGATCATTATTCCTTATTAGTATACAGCCAGGAACAATGCGGGCACCCCCCCACCATCCCTAGTAAAAACAATACAAAACACACTCTGCCTCCAGATTCGGAGCATGCGCAGCCAACCCGATGCGGCCTCCCCCACCATCCCTGTCAACAAACAATACAGAATACACTTGGTGGCGGCGGCGGCGGCTGCCGCGGGGGCAGCGGTTGCGGTTGCTGCGGCGGTGGCGGCGGAGGTGGCGGCGGGGGCGGCGGCGGCGGCGGCGGCGGCAGCGGTGGCGGCAGCGGCTGCGGCGGCAGCGTCTGCGGCGGCAGCGGCTGCGGCGGCGGCGGTTCGGCAGCGGGGGCGGCGGCGGCGGCGGCGAGCGGCGCGGCGGCGGCGGCGGCGGACAGCGGCGGCGGCGCGGCGGCGCGGCGGCGGCGGCGGGCGGCGGCGGCGGCGGCGGAAGCTGCGGCGGCGGCGGCGGCGGATTGGCTCCCAGCAGCTGCCCATCTAAAGACGACTGCTGAATATGCTGAGGCTCGGGCCTGGCTCGGGCGCTAGAGCGCGTTTCTTTATGTTCGGCGATGACGGGCGTTATGGGGGGGGGGCGAGGGGGTATGACGTAACGCCCCCCCCGCGGCGTGGCTCCGGCACCGCAGCCGCGCCCGCGCGCGCGACGCGACGAGCGACGAGCGACGAGCGACGACGACGACGACGACGACGACGACGACGACGACGACCACGACGACGACGACGACGGTCACGACGACGACGACGACGTCGACGACGCGAGCAGCATGTAGGTGGCGATATGACCCATTGCGCCTGTGTATACCACAACGCTCGCGTGCACCACGGCGCGCGTGTATACCACAGCGCCTGCGTACACCGCAACAACCGTTGTGCAACGCAGCGCCTGTGTACACAACAGTGCACAGCGCCGGCGTACAATTGCACACCGCAGCTACCGTGTGCAACGCAGCGCCTGTGTACACCGCAATTCTTGCGTGCACCGCAACGCCTGCGCACGCCACAGCGCGCGTCTACACCACAGCAGCCGCGTGCAACGCAGCGCTGGTGTACACCACAACGCCTGCGTGCATAGGACAAGTAGAAGGAACACGTACGTGAGGATCTGCTGCGGACAACTAGACGCCACGCCAGGAAAATGCTAATAATCGAATGCGACGTTATTCCCTCCTCCCTCCTCCTCCTCCACCTCCACCTCCTCTTCCTCCTCCTCCTCCTCCTCCTCCTCCTCCTCCTCCTCCTCCTCCTCCTCTTCCCCCTCCTCCTTTTCTCCTCCTCCTTACCACCTGTCGTGCGGGTTGGCGCTACAGCGCACGTGCGCATGTCAGCGCGCACCGCAGCATGGTCTATTGAATCGGTCCACTTAGTTCTCGGACGGCCAATTTAGCTGGAACTTCCTGGACGCAAAGGGAGGAGTTAGGGCGATGCGTGCGGACTCGGGAGGACACGTAGATTCCAGCGGCGCTCCGCTGTCCATAACTATTAGTTAATATTGTTTACTGTGGAATCCACAAGCGCTCCATTTTGTCATAAAGATTCGTTCTCACATCCTATATACAAGGCAGTGCTTACTACATGGTTTTTTTTCTGATTAAAAATGAGATTGTTTAGTGCATGACTGATTTATGAATAAATGCATGCACGCACCCACCGTTGCTTTTAATACTAAATCCCTGCATTTTTAATACATGATCCGCACGCGGAGCAGATATTAAAAACGGCACTGTGCAACAATGGTGCTGTGTTGCACACGGTTGCTGTGGTGCACACAGGCGCCGTGGTGTACACAGGCATTGCAATGCACGCAAACATTGTGGTGTATACTGGTGCTGTGTTGCACACGGCTGACGTGGCGAACGCAAGCGCTGTGGTGTGCACAAGAGCTGTTGTGCCCGCAGGCGCGGTGGCACAAACTGACGCTGTGTTGCACGCAACTGCTGTGGTGCACATAAACGGTGGTGTACACAGGCGCCGTGGTGCACGCAAGCACTATGGTGTACACAGGCATTGTGGTGCGAATCGCCACCTACATGCTGGCGCTACCCGTCCTTCGTCTTTCCTAGACATTCCCAAACGCCGCCGGCGCGAAACGTGACGTCATCGACCCCCTCTCCGTCCCCCCCCTAGACGATTGCCGTCATCGGCCCGGAATAAACATGATGGACCCACGAACCCGGAAAGGGATATAGACATGCGCAGCATGGTCACGTTTTCACGATACCCAACGGGGCAACATCTCACAAAACATCCCACGAGACACCTCACGAAACATCCCACGAGACACCTCACGAAACATTCCGCGAGACACCTCACGAAACATTCCAGGAGACACCCCGCGAAACAGTCCACTAGACACCCGCACGAAACATTTCCGAGACACCCCGCGAAACATTCCACGAGACACCCCCACGAAACATTCCAATTAAACGAGACCCCAAACGAAACATTCCACGAGACACCCCACGAAACATTCCACGGGGGTGCGACTGGGGTGGTCCGTGCTGAGGGTGTGGTCCGTGCTGGGGTGTGGTCGTGCGGGGGGGTGTCGTGCTGGGGGGTGGTCTGCTGGGGCTGATCGTGCTGTGGCATGGTTCGTGCGGGGGGGGTGGTCGTGCGGGGGGGTGGTTGTGCTGGGGCGTGGTCGTGCTGGGGCGTGGTCGTGCTGGGGCGTGGTCGTGCTGGGGTGTGGTCGTGCTGTGGTGAGGTCGTGCTGGGGTGTGGTCGTGCTGGGGTGTGGTCTTGCTGGGGTGGGGTCGTGCTGGGGTGGGGTCCTGCTGGGGTGTGGTCGTGCTGGGGTGTGGTCGTGCTGGGGTGGGGTCGTGCTTGGGTGGGGTCGTGCTGGGGTGTGGTCGTTCTGGGGTGGTCCGCACCCTGTGATTTATCGATCGGGTCGTGCTGGGGTGTGGTCGTGCTGGTGCTGGGGTGTGGTCGTGCTGGGGTGCGGTCGTGCTGGGGTGTGGTCGTGCTGGGGTGTGGTCGTGCTGGGGTGTGGTCGTGCTGGGGCGTGGTCGTGCTGGGCGTGGTCGTGCTGGGGTGTGGTCATGCTGGGGGTGTGGTCGTGCTGAGGTGTGGTCGTGCTGGGGTGTGGTCTTGCTGGGGTGGGGCGTGCTGGGTGGGGTTCGTGCTGGGGTGGTCCTGCTGGGGTGTGGTCGTGCTGGGGTGTGGTCGTGCTGGGGTGGGGTCGTGCTGGGGTGTGGTCGTGCTGGGTGTGGTCGTTCTGGGGTGTGATCGTGCTGGGGTGTGTCGGTGCTATGGTGGGTCGTGCTGGGTGGTCGTGCTGGGGTGTGGTCGTGCTGGGGGGTGTCGTGCTGGGGTGTGGTCGTTGCTGGGGGGGTGGTCGTGCTGGGGAGTGGTCGTGCTGGTGGGGTGGTCGTGCTGGGTAGTGGTCCTGCTGATTCAGGTCCCCAGGAGAGGACATCTAACACAAACAAGCGTTTCGCTCGGACATCCTCACCATTTCTGAAAACAAGCGTTTCGCTCAGACTCCTCAAATTTAATTTCGCCGGCTCGTTATTTACATGGAAAAATTCGCCCGGCAATATTCGCCGGCTCGTTATTTACCAGGGAAAAAATTCGCCGGCAATTCGCCGGCTCGTTATTTATCAGGGAAAAAATTCGCCGGCCTCCTTCAAGCAGGCACCGGGGGACAGGTTTACCTAGTACAAAGAGAACCCTGGGCTCTTGCCCTTTCCGGGAAAAACAGGCTTCAGCCGCGTCCGCGCGCACGACGACTATGAGCGACGAGCGACAAGCCACGAGCGACGACGACGACGACGACGCCGACGACGACGACGACGACGACGACAACGACGACGACTGCGGACCAGACTCCGATGCGGATTCCTACGCTCCTCCTCCCCCCCATCCTCCTCCTTGCCCACCTCCTCCTCCTCCTCCTCCTTCTCTTCCTCCTCCTCCTCCTCCTCCTCTTTCTCTTCCTCCTCCACCTCATCCTCCTCCTTGTCATCCTCCTCCGTGTCCTCCTCTTATTCGTATTACATGCTTATGGTTATTATTGGGATTAGTCCTCTCAATATTACTCATTTTTTGTTATTGTTCTTAGTAGGTTCGTATTCGTATTCGCCGTCCTCTTAGTATTATTGTTTTGTTTCGTACTCTACTCAGTCTTCTTATTACGTATTCGTATTAGTAGCATTAGCCTTCTTCGTCGATTTATTATTTGTATCACTCGTACTATTATTATGACTATGACTCGTCTTATTATTATTCAGCTTCGTCTTCCTCTTCTTAATCGTGTTCGTATTAGTATTATTCTTTCCTCCCTGCTCCTCCTCCTCCGCCTCCGCCTTCGCTTTCTCCTCCTCCTCCTCCAACTCCCTCGTCCTCCTCCTCCTCCTCCTCATCCTCCTCCCCTGCCGGTGGTGCTGCCGCTCGTCTTTCGCCCGAACGGGCACCGGGCGCGCCCGCGCGCGCTCGTGCCTTCTTCTTTCCGACGTCAATGCGGAGGTCGTCGGCGGAATACATCGCCTTCTCCTGCCAATCGGCGGCGAGCGAGGAGGAGGAGGAGGAGGAGGCGGAGGAGGAGGAGGAGGAGAGGGAGGGAGAAGGAGGACGGACGAGGGTGAGGAGAGCCAGGAGGAGGAGGGCCAGGAGGAGGAGGAGGAGGAGGAGGAAGAGGGCCAGGAGGAGGAGAAGGAGGAGGAGGAGGAGAAGGAGGAGGAAGAGGAAGAGGAGACGGAGAAGGCCTTCTCGGAAGGTCGAGGGGCTTCTCAAAAGCCCTCGACGCCTTCTGAGAGGGCCCCTGCGTCGTCGGGGCAGGCTCAGAGCACCTCTCAGAAGGCGCGAGGGCTTCCGAGGAGTCCCGCCGCCCTCTGAGAAGGCCTTCTCCTTCCCGCTTCCCCGCCTCCTCCTCCTCCTCCTCCTCCTCCTCCTCCTCCTCCTCCTCGCCGAGCCAGCGGTCGTCGCTCCGACCAGCCGCGCCCCCGCACGAGACGAGTAGACAGTGCGGGTTCCGCCACTCGCAGGGCAGACAATCACAGATGGCAGGGACCCACTTCGGAGGCGCGCACACGTGGATTAGCGATCCATGGATTTGGCGCGCCTCCCCCAAAGTGCGGCCGGTGCCGCATCGCTCGGCGGCGGGAATCTGCGATTTCCCATGGGACCCGTCGCTGATCCATGCCCCTTTGACCCACGTCTGCGACCGCCTGACCATTGCATCGAGGCAAGCAGGCCCCGTCGCATCGAGGCGAACATTGTCTCGTCTTGCGTTTGCGAGCCGGCAGCTTGCGAGCAATGGAACGCGCTCGGTGAGGCCAGACGGCGGCAGGATGGAGATCCGCCGGCCCCCGCCCGCTCGGGGGCGACACAAGGCATGTGGGGCACTGGGCTGCCCCCTCCTCCCCCCTTCCCTCTCCCCCGGGGCCCAGAATGCCGCTCGAGGGCCCTCTCCCCCTTCTCCTCCTCCTCCTCCTCATCCTCCTCCCTCTTCCTTTCCTCCTCCTCCTCCTCCTCCTCCTCCTCCTCCTCCTCCTCCTCCTCCTCCTCCTCCTCCTCCTCCGCTCGCCAGCGCTTCTCCCGGGGCTGC